AGTGAGGGCTCAGCCCATGCAGAATGACCATTAGGGCCTCTTTTCAAACCTACCCTCTAATCCCAAATTCACATCCCTCCACTTCCCCATGGAAAAATGGAGAAACGATTGAAATTGTCAACAATTTACTTTTATTTGGATCAATACCCATGGTAGCAGCAGCCTAGAAATCAAAAGATGCATTAAAATGGGAAGAATCTGTCAAGAAGCTCTCTGAAGTGCTGAAGAGCAAAGATGTTAGTTTATAAATTAAGGTGTGTTTGATCCAAACCAAGGGCAAGGTTCAGACCTGCTGTTCACAGGGTCGCTGAGCCAAAGTTGACTCAGTGGCACCCAACAACATAACCCCAGACTTGTTTATCTTCCTAGGGCTTCAGCAGCGCTGCTCCCCCAGCTCCCACTGTGCAATCACCACGGTCATCCAGGGGCCATCTGCAGCTCATCCTCATTCGGTAAGAAGGCCATGGCCCTGCCCTGTCTCCTGAGGACAGTGGGGTATCTCTTGAAACCACCAACTAGTGCCTTCAGTGGCCACACTTGCCCAGTCTGCCCCCAGCAGACACCTGGCCCCACCCAATTCCTGCCTCTAGCTGCCCCTGCAATACTGGCACACATCAGAGGGTGTAGCGGGCCCTGCAGCACACCCATGGGAGCCCAGAGCTGGGTGGGCTTGCTGGGGACCTGGATCAGCTAAACTCTTCAGCCAGGGCCTGGTGCTTCCCAAGTTGGACTAATTAATGACTTTATTATTAGCCAAATGCTATCAGTCTTTTCATCAGCACTGCACATCGGGAAGCTCCTTCAGGATGCAGAGTGGGCGTGGGAGGACTCAGGCCCTGACTGGATCTGACCATGAGCTCACACACCATTGTCTTCATCCTGCTCTTCTTCGGCCAGGCACGTCACTTCTCCTTTCCCTAGAAACACTCTCTCCAAGGCCTTGTCCAGCCAGTCCCTGCTGCGGCCAATGGAGGATAGAATGGTAGGACCAAGAGGGCTGGGTAGCTTCAGTGGGGCAAGGGTGCCTGCTACACAGGGGGCGTGAGCAGGCTGACCATGGTCTCCGGAAGGCGACCACTGCAGCTGGGCTGATTCTGACCCATATGTCCCCCTCCCTGAGCTTCCAAGGCTGCACGTCTCCATGGAGCAGACTGCCCACCTTTTTCTGAGGAACTGGCAGACTTGAACCATTGTCCTCTCTGCTAACAGCCCAAAAGGGAATACACTACACCAGCACAGCTCCTTTGGTCTCTGGAAGGCCCAAGTCCTTGATCACCTCAGGGTCCATACTGAGGCTCAGGGGCCTCCATCAGGAGGACTGATGGAAATGCTGCTGGGCCATGTGCTTTGACAATGGGGTGATGAACCCGAACTCTTCCCCAGCTGGCCCAGGAGGTCAGGCCCCACCAACCTGAGTGCCCCTTTAGCCCCCAGGGCACACTGGCCCTAGACAAATCCTGCCTCCTCTCTGTGCCCTTCTGACTTGACACTCTTCTTCATCCCATTCAGACACTTTAGATGGTGAGTGTTCACAGTGGGCTACAGGGGTGCAGGCTGTAATCCCATAATGTGAGAGGAAACACCAAAATGACCCCAGATCTGAGAGCAGCAGGCAGGCTGGCCCTAGAGAGGGAGGAGTTGCCAGGTTGTTGCTATGGTAACTACTCTTCCCCCTCCCACTTTCAGGGTGCAGGGAGGTGGGCCCTGGGATTACCACTGTGTGTTTCCTTGGCCAACGGGGAGAAGTGCTTTGGGGAACTCTAGGGGCACGGAGTCAGGAAGAGTGGGCTGTGCAATGGATGTGGGGAGGTGAACCTCATGAATCAATCTGCCCGTGGGGTGAGCACTGGCTGGCTTGTTCATGGAAGGTTACACCACGCCACCACTAGACAACAGCAGTGAGGCCACCACTTCAGAGACACAGCGGTGTCACAGAGTCCCTTCTCTTGCCCCAGGCTTGCCCATTTACAGGACTTTATCTATCAAAAATATATTAACCCCGAAGTCTGTTTCCATCAGAGTCTCAGTTCCAGGGGCATTTTCCGATAAGCCTTATCTCCTTGCTGGTGCATTAGCTCTGCTGGTCGGGGGCCAGGGGCCTGCCAATCTTCAATGCCCTTCCTGCCCGCCTGGCCTGTGACTTCACTCCCTGTGGGCGGGCAGGGGCTCCCACTGCCCACCCACCTACTGGCTGGGAGTAGGGAGAGCCCAGAGGGCACCTTATTTCCAAGAATACTGCAGAGGCATGGGTGTGGGGCAGGGACAGGACCCTCGGTTGCCCAGCCTGGCCCAGCTGATGGATGCTTGGGCTTCAGCAATGTTGGCCAAATGAAGTTTCTGCGCTCTGGCCATACAGGGCACCGTCCATGGGGAGACCAGGGGCTGGCTCCCTCTCTGTTGTTTCCTCCATCCAAGCCTGCCTCCTTCCGAGATGGCTCACTTGGGGCTGGGCTGCGGGGCTCCCAACATTTTCTGAGGGGGCAGGTCTCAGGTTCTCTTCCTTCCAGGAAAGCTGATGTGTGCTGGCCCCTCTGTGGGCTATAGTTCCAATGACAGCCAGTGCCAGCTCTGAACCAGGCTAGCTCCTAGTTCCCAAAAGGACCTAGGAAATAGCTACTTACAGTCTTCTAATTATACAGATAGGGAAATGGAATCACAGAGGCCGGGAAGTCAGTAATGGGGCCATGGCCTGCCTTGCAATAACCCTCAGTTACCGAGTTCCATTCTATCTATGTCTGTTGTGGGGGTTCTGGGGTGTCACATGACCCTCATTTGGAGAGCAAGGGATTGAGGATGCTTACAGGGCAGCAACACAGGTCCTCGGGCTGTGCCCAGGGGAACCCTTAGCCTAAATTCACAACAGGCCTTGCAGAATTGTATATACATGAATGATTGTGTGAAACACAATGTAAATGAAAGATTATATAAAACACAATGTATATGAATGAAACATAATGTAAAGGAATTGTATGAAAACGAATAAAAATATTTATAAAAATAATTAATTTTTTTTAAAAGGCCTTGCAGAGCCCTGGGTTGGGGGTCGGGATGTCAGTCCTCATGCCCCTGTTAGGGATAAATCTGCTGTAGTGGTGGGGAGTGACAGTGGCCAGAGGGCTCCTCAAACTTGAGCAGAGTCCCAGGGAGTCGAGTGTGAGCCCCCCTCAGCAATGGCGGGTTCCCATCTGTGAGGAGACCGCACTGCCCACTTCAAAAGCTCCAGGAACCATGGGTGGGGCGAGCACCCCTCTGGCCCAGCAGGTGGTCACCAGGCCTTTTGTGACCCCCTCACCCCACCAGAACCTGGGGGGGGGGGCGTGCAGCTTGATCAACTCCGCCCTAGAGGGTAGATCATATCCTCCACAAACAGCCTCAATCCCCACTTGGGGGCCCCACGTCTCCTTAGTGGTCAGCCCAGCAGGGGTTAGGTAGTCAGGCCCCAAGGAGGGTCCCACTAGTTCCTCCTCTTGAGGGGCTGGGCTGAGGATTAAACAAGAGGTGCTGTGGTGGGGAGCTCCTGGAGGGTGCCCTGGAGAGTTGCCCCGGGTACTGTGGTGAGCTTTGCACCCCATGCTGTGGCTTCTCTATGGGCCAAGTTGGTGGAAAGAGCTAAAGAGATGCTGCTCTGACTGGTATGCACCACGCATGCCTCTGCACCTGGGGGTTGGGCTGTAAAGTGCAGTCCATGTCTGTGTCTCAGAGGGAAAAGTTGGCCTCCAAGAGGACCTCCTTCCACCAAAAAGCTCAGCAGAGGCCCCTGTCCCTGCACTGCATGAGGGGACAGCATGTTCTGCTCATTCTTCCTCCCTGCCTTTGGCTCCAGGGCTTAACCACTCCATGTCATTTGATCACAACCTGCCTGTTATTATTGCTAATGCTGTTTTTACAAATTAAAGTACAATGCACCACTTAGACAAAGGGAGAGCTCTGTGCCTTGAGAGAAAGATGAGCAATCTCCTCCCTTTTGATTGACTGAATGGGGGGTCAGTTTCAACTGGAAAGCAGGGACAGAGAAGGGAGAGAGACAGAGAGGCAGACAGAGAGCAAGCATGAGACCACATCCATATGATGAAGAGGGAAACACTGTGACATCTATTCATCCTACAAATATCTTTAACAAAAGGTCCGAGTTCCCTTCAATCAGCTGGTTGCTCTATTTCACACTTTCCAGACTACAAAGCAGCCCGGAGCCAGAGGGGTGAGGTGGCCTATCAGTACAGGGGTATAATGAGCATGGGGGCCCTTGGTGACAAAGCCATGGGCTCCTGCTTCCCAGAGCCCTGACTTTTGAGGACAGTGGGGGCTCCTGAGGACATTGGATATAGAGATGGCGGTGACCTGCCATGGTTAGCACCAGGAGACCCTGAAGGCAGTGTGCCCTTGCCCACAGCCCCTCCCTGACTGCTGTCAACTCCCCAAGGAGCATCTAATGACCCCCCAGACCTCATGAATGCCCCTTTCAGGTCCATGTGGGCCTTCCTGACAATGGTTTCCTTTACAAATGAAAGCACAACATGACACTGAGGTAAAAGGAGGACTCTGTGCCCAAAGAGACAGATGGGCAATCTCCTCTCCTCTGAATTATAGCCCAGAGTCCCTTTCCCTCAAAACCACCAGGCCCTTTATGGGCTGCATCTTCCTCAGGACCTCCTCAGCTCACTGGATCTTTCCCTTGATTTTACTCTCATCAACCCCAGAGGCATTGGGAGGCCCCAGTGACAGCACACAAAGACCAGCAGAGCAAGCTGGGGCTGTGGGGACATTTATTTGCAGCTGTCAAGTGCCCAGCTGCCTGAGGCTGGGGTGGAGATGGGTCTTGGATGGTCACCCGCCTAGTGGGCACCAGCCCCTCCTGGCTGGCGGGGCACCATGGGGCCATGCATGTCCTCTGGTGGAGGGGGACAAGCTGAGGCCGGTCTGACCTTGGCATAAGGAGAGGTGCGGTCGGGAGGCACTTGTGGTGGACACAGGTACGGCGGCCTACACCGCAGGTTCAGCACTCAGGGTGACTGAATCATGCGCTTTTGGGTATCGAAGACATAGCGCTTGAAGGTCAGGCTGAGCGTGACAGGCTGTGCGGGCTCTGGCCGCTCCACACCCTCCTCTTCTTTGGTCGCTTCCCCTCGGCCACCTCGGCCCCGCTTCTTGACTCCTGGTGCCAGCATCTTCCTGGACTCTGGGCTGAGGCCACCTACAGGGCACAAAGACAAAGAGCCTTGTCACATGGCAGACCTGAAGCCCACAGCCTCTGCCCACCCACCTGATACTTGGGTGAGCACCCACAACCCACCCATCTCCCCAACACCCTCAGCCCAACTCCCTAAGCCAGGCCTCGGCGCCATGCTTAGCAATCCCTATTGCTGTCTCATCCAGCCTCTTGGCTCCCTGGCCCCTGGCAGCTGGGGCAGATTCTAAGCCCTGGAGCTTAATCCTCAGTAAGAGCCCCTGCAGATCCGTTCTCCAGCCTATGGGGCCCAGGAACTGGCCTCTGCGGATGCACCATGGACCATGCCTCCTGGCACCAAGTGAGTTAAGATAAAGCAGCAACAGCTGCCCAATGGTGGTACCATTTGCACTAGCTCCCGCGGCCAGAGCCCATCTGCATGCGAACAGTTTTCACACCAGCCCTGTCAGTGACTCCTGTTCCCAATTAATGGCCTCTGCCGATGCTGTTCCTTCAGCCGACACATCCCTCATCTCCTTTCCCAGTGAACACAGCACCTTCACAAGGAGGCTGCAGGGCCTTTCTCTGGAACCTGCATCTGTGAGGGGGTCTCCTCTGAACTCAGAAGCCCCTACAGGGCTCATGGCTCTTTGGAGGCTGGGTAGCAGGTGGCCCGGGATCCAGATTATCTCTGCCAGGGGTGGGTTGAACAGCCTAGTGACTCAGCCCTACAGCCCCAGAGAAGGGGCCCACCTCTGATGTCCACACAGGGACTATCGAGGGCCTGACAGGTGCACCTGCCACCTGTGACACGTGTTAGTCCCTCCATCCCTTCCTCGACCTGAGTGGCAGTGCAGGGAGGGCCTGGGCTCGGTGTCCTAGCAGAGGCTGTGAGGGGTTACAAGTGCAGGTGTATATGCTGCAGAGGTCAGCAGTCCTGTCACTGTACAGATGAGAACAAGGAGGCCAGAGGGGGGTAGGACCTCACTCTTCACTCTACTGGCTGCAAATGGAAATGGTAGTGGTTCAAGGCCACCAGTCACTCAGTGGGAAAAAGATGCGAGTCTGTTTCCATAAAGATTCACAGCCTTGGAAACCCTGTAGGGTTCTACCAGCCCTACAGCATTGCTGGGAGTCAGAATCCAGCTGAAGGTAGTGGTTTGCTTTTGGGGCGGGGGCAGGGAACCACTCTCGCCTGCCTGTCTTGGCAGAAGATCAGCCCCTACTGGGGGTTTTTGGAGATGGTCTCAGAGGGGAGTGCAGACTTCGAGAGCACTTCTGCTGGCCTCACAGCTCCTGAGTTCTTGTAAAGGTAATGAGGGGGGTGATCCAAGGAATCGGGGAGCCAGAGAGATGCCAAAGTCAACCCTGCTTCATCCCATAGAGGACTGTTTCTGTGTGAGGTATCCACTTCCCCTGGAAAAGGCCTGGGACATTTTAAGGGGGTCCTAGAAGTGGGCACAAGGGTTTCCAAGGCGATCAGGCTTCCTACAGTAGTGCCTAAGAGAGGTAGTGTGGCCCTCGGGACCTTTAGCAGGGCCTTCCTGTCTGGGCAGCCGGCTCTGGCACAGTGTCTAATCCCCAGGTTCCCCACCCAGCTGACCGCCCCCTGGGCTGTGCCTGAAGACAGAGGCTATGGGAATGGCCCCAGGCCAGGCCCTGAGCGGCCGTCAGCCCTCAGGTATCTGCGTCCCTGAATCAGATCGCAGCCTCCCCTCTGCAAACAGAGAAGGGACTGGCACCAGAGCCTGACAAATGGCATGGTGACTCGTCTCTCTTTGGTGCCAGGAGGTCTGATGGCTGCAGCGGCTGCCCGGCGTCTCTGAGGAGCTGGGGAGACAGGTACAGCCAGTCATCAGTCCATCTTAGCTGGGATGGCTCTCGTTACACATGGCACACCTTGCACTACCCGCTGGCAAAGCTGGAAAAACTATCTGGCTGGGCAGCCTGGCCACCTTCTGAGAGGGCGGCCCACTCACTCTGCCCCCCTCCCAGGCTGCCTGAGGTCAACATCCCAGAACGCTGTCAATGCAGTCCACCCCTGAGCTGTGGGGCCCAGACTTCTGGAAAATGTCACCGGGCCATGGTTTTTTCCTCTCCAACCATATTCCCCCTTAGCCAAGGGGCCGGCAATGGGAAGAAATGAGCTTTGGGATGAAGTATCCAGGGTCAGAACCTGCCACCCTCACTAACATGCCCCATATGACTCGTTTCTCCCAACTTTTAGGAGAAGGGGCCTGCTCCTGGGGAGTCAGTGGTTGGCTAAGGGACAGACATGAAGTGAGCAAGCAGAATAGGGCCAACTACAGCCTCTCAGGTACAGGGCAGGGTGTGTGAGACCAGCTGAGATTGGAGGTGGGGGTCCATCAGAGAGGCCTGCACACAGACAGAGTGAACTTGGCACATGGCAGCCTTCATGGTCCTGTGCTGGGGCCTAGGGGCCAGGAATCCATGCAGGTTGGGCCCCAGCTGGAGAGGTGCTTGGCCAGTGTTGGTCTGGGGCATGGAGAGTGGGGCTGGCCAAGGTACTAGGCATTAAGGAGGTCTGCCTGGAGCTCAGGGTAAACTGAAGGGCAGTCCATCCTGACCACCCTGCCCATAATCCCTGTCAGCCTGGGGGGAAGAAGCACACAGGACAGGTTCCTGCTTGCAAGGATATAACTCTTAGTCTCCTTGGGACCTCCCTTAGAACAACCACTAGGTCCCCTTGCTAGGCCAGCAGACCCTTCACTGGTAGTGGCAGTGAGCATGGGACCAGGCTGAGGGGCAGGTGCTGTGGCCCTCACCGTCCAGAGGGCAAGATGCCTGTCCACCTGCCTTCCCGTGTTCACTGGGAGTGGTGGGACTGTCTCTTCCCTCTGTTCCCATCTCTTTCCACATGACCTGAGCCATATTCTCCCTCTTGGAGAACATCAGATCATTCCAAACCTTACACCCCGGCCTTCTGTTCTCAGACACACCAGCACACACCCTCCCCAGGACCTCTGCACATGCAAGTTTCATCACCAGATGTTCCAACACTGCAGGTCTGCCTTCTTCAAGCCACAGTGCAAATGTCCATTCCTTAGGAGGCTTCTGGACTCCTGACCACTCTGTACCCAGCTCTGTTTTTCTAGTGTTCTTATCACATTCTAACATCTGTCATAATTTCCTCCTTTTGATGTTTACTGTCTGCCTCAGCTCAGATACACATTCCACTTGGCAGAGATTTCCCTGTCTGTTCACTTGTGTTCTCCTAAACACCTAGGCCAACCCCTATTCAGAGAAAACATTCAGAGGATACCTGTTGAGTGAATAAGTAAGTGTGAGAACAGCAAAGGCCCTTAAAGCACTTGTTGCAGGATTGTGAGGGGCAGCTCTGCCGATGGTCACGGTTGGGAACCAAATTAAGAAGGCCAAATAATTGTGCACATGTCTGTTCACAGCAAAAGGCCTTTTCCTATATACCTCACGACATGTTGATGAAGAAAGCATAGCCTAGAAGAACGAAGAACTTGCTCAAATCATAGCTGCTATGAGACAGAGTGAGGATTAGGCAATAAGCTTACAAAGAGGTCTGATGGCATGGTGGTTACAGAGCTACTAACCAAAAGATTGGTGTTCAAACCCACGAGAATCTCTGTGGGAGAAGGATGGAACAATCTGCTCCTACAGAGATTAACAGTCTTTAAAACTCCACAGACAGTTCTATCATGTCCTTCAGGATCGCTGTGAGTTAGAATAACGTGGTGTTTGGCTCATATGCTTCCAAAGTCTGTGTGATCAACCACTGCCACTGAGCTCGCTCGCCTGACTTGTCATAGCTAAAAGGGAGTCCTGTGATTAAGGGAAGTGGTGAAGACAAGCCTGGCATTCGTTTGCTGTGGAAGATGTACACATTGTTGTTAGGTGCCAGAGATGACTGTAACTCACAACGAGTCTAAGAACAAGCGGCGTGAACCTGCCCTGTTCTACACCATCCTCACCACCTCTGTCACGCTCAAGCCCATCGTAGCAGTCACCATGTCAATCCATCTTGTTGAGGGTCTTCCTCTCTTTTGCTGACCCCTCCATCTTTTCTAAAATGTTATTTCTCTCCAAGGACTGTTTGCTACTGAAAATATGCTCAAAGTAAGTGAGGCAAAGTTTCTCCATCCTTGCCTCTAAGGAGCACTTTGGCTGTACTTTCATCAAGGCAGGTTTGTTGGCTCTTTTGGCAGTCCACTAATTGATAGTCTGTGCCAATACCACAATTCAAAGGCACTGGTTCTTCTTCTTCAGTCTTCTTTGTTCATTGTCCAACTTCCAGATGCATAGGAAGTAGTTGAAAAGATCAGGCTTATATCAGGCAAACTTTAGTCTTTAAACTGACATTCTCATTCCTTAGAAAGGTCCTTGACAGCAGATTTCCCCAAGGCCACATGGTTTTTAATTTACTGACTGCTGCTATCATGGGTATTGATTGTCAATCCAAGTAAAAGGAAAGTGTGGACAAGTTCCTTCTTTTATCCATCTATCATGATGGTACAATTGGTCCAGTGGTGAGGATTTTTGTCTTGTTGATGCTAAGATGTAACCAAAGGCTGTAGTCTTTGATCTTCTGCATTAGTGGCTAAACTCTACTTCACTTTCTGCAAGCAAGGTTGTGTCATCTGCATAATGCATATCGCTGATGAGTACTCCTCAAATCCTGAAGCCATATTCTTCCTCAAAGAATACAACTCTGATGCACACCTTTCCTGATTTTAACTTGTGCAGTGTTCCTTTGTTCTGTTTGGACAACTGCTCCTTGGTGTTTGTACAAGTTTTGCATGAGCATACTTAAGTGTTCTAATTCTTCTTTTTATTTGTGTGTGTATGTGTGTATGTGTGTGTGTGTGTGTGTGTGTGTGTGTTTTATTTCATAAAGCAACCTTTATTTCTTACTTATTTCTCTGCTTCTCTATTTTCTTTTTAAAAAGAATTAATTTTAATGAAAGTTTATAGAGACTTAGGTTTTCCAGTAATTCATTGTTGTACTTTTCTCCCTCCGACCCCCTTCCCCCCAG